TATATATATATATATATATATATATATATACACACCAGTAATGCATCGTGCTTCAAGAAAGAGAGAGAAAGAGAGGCTATATGACTACTTAATTCCAACAATAAACAAATAAATAAGCAGCTTTCAAAACGTCCTCTCACCTCAAGCATAACTAGGGAAAATCCGAACATCGGTTGCCTAAGAATTTTCAGGCCATCCATGATGTTCAACATTGCAAAATAAGTACAAGAAACTAGATTTCCAGAAGATAAGTCACTTGTTCACAATCACCAACAAAAATCTTTCAAAAGAAATCTCAATGATTACATCACTAAGGAAAACAAAAGACAACTATAACTATCCGCAATTAATTCTAAGAATATCTCACCATCCAGATATTTCATCTCGTTGTAAACATCAATCCAATATTTCTTAAAGTTAAGGGCAATTAGATTGCATGTAGTACATCATACATACATATATATACATATACCATTGTTACTGCACCGTGCTTCATGAAAGAAAGAGAAAGAGAGGGCCATATGAATGATTAATTCCAAAAAAATAAATATGCGGCTTTCTAAAGGTCCTCTCACCACCTCAAGGATAAATAGAGAAAATCAGAACATTGGTTGCCTGAGAATTTTCAGGCCATCCTTGATGTTCGATAATGCAAAATGAGTATAAGAAACTAAATTTACAGAGGATCAGTCACTTCTTGGCAATCACCAACAGAATTCTTCCAAGAGAAATCTCAATGATTACATTACTCGGGTAAAAAAAAGACAACTACAAAGTTAAGGGCAATTTGATTGCAAGTAGCATATCATACAAATATGTGTGTGTATATATATATATATATATATATATTTGTGTGTTAATATATACCATTGTTAAAGCACCAAGCTTCATGAAAGAGATAAAGAGAGTGTCATATGACTGCTTAATTCCAACAATAAATAAAAAAATAAGCAGCTTTCTTAAGCTCCTCTCACCTCATACATAAATAAGAAAAATCAGAACATCGGTTGCCTAAATATTTTATGGCCATCCTTAATGTTCGACATTGCAAAATGATATAAGAAACTTGATTTCCAGAAGATCAGTCACTTGTTGGCAATCACCAACAGATTACTTCCAGGAGAAATCTCAATGATCGCATTACTGAGGAAAACAAAATACAACTATAACTATCAGCAATTAATTGTAAAAATATCTCAACATCCAGATATTTCTCCAAATTGTCCACACCAATCCAATATTTTTTCAAGCTAGGGCAATTTGATTGCAAGTAGTATATATATATATATACAGAGAGAGAGAGAGGGGGGGGATGGATTCATATCACCATGAATTACTAATGTTTTTGCATCGACCTTCAATAAAGAGATCCAAAGACGAATCCTGCAATAAATCATAAAAAAAAAGAGAAAAAGAATTCATACTGTCCTCTCAGCTTAAGACAACGATGACGACAACAACAACAACAAGCCTTAATCCCACTGTGGCTTTTTTCTCCATTATGCCCTGTTATAAGTTAAATTCTTATTTAAATATAACAAAAAAATGCCATTTCTAATATCTTATAACCAAGTCTTTTTGCGTCTACCTCTACCATTCTTAACATAAGTCAAATCTAATACATCTATTTTCCCAACTGTGTCATCGGAAGGCCGCCTTTTTATGTGAACAAACCATCTAAGGCGACTCTCCCAAATCTTATATTCCACTGGAGCTACCCCAAACTTTTCAAGTATATGCTCATTTCATATCCTATCTCAAAAAGTAAAGCCAACTCATCCACCTGAGCATCCACATCTCTGCAACACTTAACTTAATATTATGCTTTTCTTTTAAGGGCCAACATTCTGCAACATCAAGCATTGAAGGTCTAACCACCATCTTATAGAATTTTCCTTTAAGTTTGAGGGGTACTTTTCTATCACACAAAAAGCTTGATTCATTCCTCCACTTCAACCATTCAACTTGAATTCTACTAATAATATCCCCATCAATTTCACCATCACTCTGAACAATATAACCAAGATATCTAAACATGTCTCTTATTAAAGACTTGATCACCCAAAGTCACAATCCCCCCTCAATAACCATGGCTGATAAGCAAGAAAACATGCTAGCCATCATCATTACAAGCTCTATGAGAAAAAAAGCAGAAGATTTTTCGTTACAGATGTCACCCCTTCTTTCATCTTAACATCAACAACTGTACATATGCTTCAAGAGTAATGAGCAAGAATAAGAAGTGGGAGATGAAGAAGAAAAGACGAACAAAAAAACAAAGGCCTAGATAAGTAGAGGGCCTTTGCTACACTTTAATTGCAAAACAAATGGAAGATGTGGTTGCCTGAGATGCTCCAGACCATCCAGACATGTCATATGCTGGGAAACATAGCGATATTTCATAATTGCCATGTGTAATCAATGGTTG